GGGGGGGGGGGGGGGGAACGGTGAGACCACTCCCGTGTGCCCGCACATCAGCCGCATATACTCCGCACATATACATACCAAACTGAAAATACGTTTGTAAACTGATGGAGATTGCATGTCCTATAACTAATAGGGTGCGACACACAAAACGCCCGACTACCCAACAGTACCCAACACCTTTCGTCTGCACCTTCCCAACATAACATATATGAGACACACAAGACAGCTACCAAACTGATTTGTTGAGCCTGTTACCCACAGGGGAGATGTCCCTATATGCTGTCTGGGAAATCGTAGACACACAGGTAGTTTTCTCTGACGCTATGATTCCATTGTTAATCTGTCTCTGACTCTTTTCTATAATAGAGATGGACTCGTTGTGTCATATTAAGAAAAATAAAAAAATCGAAATTCGGGTCCAGACGCCTCCCGTCATTTCTCTGGAAGCAGGGGACGGGCTCTTCCAAAAAGCGGCGCAAATTGAAGCTCTCTTCAGCAGCTTCGCGTGCATATGCGTGTCACTGCGATCGGCTGCAGCAGCGAGGAGCTACGCACGTTGCTAGATTTTCCCAGATTGGCTGTTCCTGCCCGAAACTGTTTCAGGGCGCCGTCGCCTGGCGCGGTAGGCCCTCCCGTAGCTTCTGCTCCGCGGTGTAGACTAGCTCTACAACGCGAGACACCCGCAGGATGACCCGGGTATCGGCTTGAAGCTATGGGAAAGCCCTTCAACTCAAGCCGCACAGCAAGCTCTTCCTCTCAGCAGTAGACAAGCTACATCGTATCGCACGATCTCGCTCCCAATCAGATACTTCGCTCTCAATCGTGCGAATATGTTGTTCTTGGTCCCACTCACCATCGTGCTTGTCAGCTTCCATCTCGTCGGCCATGTAGATCTCCGCCAGGCCCAGGACGCCGGCAACGTTCAACTACGTTTCCGCTCCAGCAGTACAGTCTTCCCAGACTCGCACAAGTCCTCCTCGCATCTCCGCCTGCCCCACATTTCGCACCTCTGCTACTGGCCGAAACCCGCTAACAGTTGCAACTACTCCGCCGCTTGCAGTGTCCCAGAAGAGCTCGAGGAGACGACAGACAGAAGGCGTGCCAGCGATTTCGCAAATGCATATGTCGTGTACGTACACTTTTCTCCCACAAACGCTGCTTTGTATGCCATCAATCCCCATAAATGGGGACCTTCTCGACAGCGTACCGTTCATGTTGGACTCCCTCACGTTGTCGACCAGCTTGGTCGGGATAC